TCCTTCACGACGCAGTTAAAGTTTAAAACTCGACCGAGCTAAATAGATTGCTGCTTTGGTTTAAGTAAGATGACAATTTAACTTTTGATGATTTGGTGTCATCAACAATGTTTCGTATTCAACAATCCCATGGAGCCTGGAGAATGGCTGCGGTGGCTATCCAAGGACTATCGGACCGCAGTTCATTTTCTGTAATAATATTCGATAGATATCATCAAATTTGATGCTGAGTAATATGACAGGGCATGTTTAGAAATGCAACACATTTGGACTAGATCGGTGCTGCATGTATTTTTTGCGTCCGGTACCGCGCTACACGATCATTATTCCGTCAATTTATCAATTCCAACCGTTTACCCTTTCTTGCAAAGAAACCGGTCTGTAAATTACACCACCCTGTGCTTCAACATGTCGAATTGAGAAGCTGGGAAGGTGGATCTCGTGAAGACAAAAATTTCCACATTGCCGCTAAAACTATCAACCGACCACGGCAGTCGAATTTCCTGCGATAATTTACATTTTGACATGTAAAACCTTCCAAAAATTGGCTTTTTCTCAAAAAGATAAGAGTCGGACTGGTGAAGGTAGGAGCTACCGAACTTGCGGCATCAACGTTGGAGATGGATGAGCCCTTGAAGCCTTCAAATCTCACGCGACTATATTTCAATCAAGCCTTAAAGTTATGCCAGCAGAAGAATGGTTGCCGTTCTTAAAAAATGCGATAATGAAAAGTCTAGAGGAGCCAATTTGCAAGACAGCGTCACTAGTGGTACTAGGAATGGGAAGATGACCCACTTACGTCTCAACTATCGCGCTGTCTACGACGAAAGCGGTTGTGCTTATACGAGTTGAAGAGGTAGAAAGGCTACAGATGGCAGATGACAGAGCTGCTTTAGAGGGATAAATTACGAAACAACCTGTCATACGCCGTGGGGCAACAGCGGTACAATAGTTTGGGGTATTTGTCCATCTAATCTTTTAAGAAGATGCTACCTTGAGGATGCCTTATCCAAGAAAGTCCTGCACCTTAACACCTGATTATCCTGTCGAAATGTTTGTAGTCTTGTCTGGGACAATGATACTTGGAGGAAAAAACGCAAATAACATCTTGGGAATATACAAAATGACGATAGACACCAAAGCCTGGATTTCTCAAATCCTAAAAAATAACTAGAGGTAGGTCTACGACGATAAAGAGCGCTAATGAATGAGAGAGATGGCTACAAACGAAGTTCAGTTATCGTGAGGCTGATAAAATAGGTTCTTCAATGCTTAGTGATTAGAATAGAATAGGATTAAGTCCCTACTGGGTCTAAGACTACGAAAGACTGCTAAAGCAATTGCTTAGTGATTAAAAAGCACGCTTTGGTGGATTCTCTGCTTTATACGGTTCACCTCTGGCCACCCAGAGCTCGAATGAAACAGTCGCCTAACTGCAGCGAGCGTTTGCAATCCCAAGTTTCCTGTAACAAGGCTAGGTAATGTGGAGCGTCTGCGGATATTCACTAGAACAGATTCTACTCTGAGCAAATAGATGCCGTACTCTGGTTGCATAGAGGCTCATACGTCTTGGAAGAAGGGTGCGAGTCCTTACTTGGCGGAATACAAGGCCATCGCCTAAAGGACACGCTAAACACTTAAAGAGAGAATGGCGAACTTAAGGAGGGGTGAGTGAACATAAGAGGTATTATTTTCAATTACAAATGGCGAAACCAATAGATGACCAATAGTTAATACAAGTATCTAACTCAAAAACGGAAGGGTCAAGATTTGGCTTGAATACCCGCGCAGAGAACTCCTGGCTCCAAGACCGTTGGCATCGACCTTACGACCCCAGACATCTCTATCATCACGCGAAGGCAAGAGAAGAATGTCTAGATATATTTTGCTAATTACGTCTCGGAGTGGTAACCAATTACACTTCTTTTAGGTCATGTTTAAAAGCCATGGAACTAGATTAGATAGGGGGAAGTATTGTTCATCGTAAAGTCCCCCCCGCACGTAAAAAAGTCTTTAAAGATACTTAGCACCTGTATTGGCCCCTAAAGCACTAAATCAGATTATTAAAATCAAGTACAAGAACAAGTGAACAATATCATTTGAGCTATTGATTAAATTTTCAAAAAAGGGTATCAGGAGGCTAGTTGGTTCCCTAAAAGTATATAATTGGGTAAGAAATTCTCGCAACAACCCTTGTTGCAGAGGTTCATGTTAATACCAATGGGCAAGAGCCGCAGATTGTAAAAATTCAGAATATCACTTGACGCAAGTGTCTAGACAGACAGTGGGGTTAGATTCCACCATGAAGAAGACTAAATTCGGCATGAAAATTTGGAAATCTACTTTTGCGACAATTCCCATCAAGTAATATTATATGGAGTTGGTATCATTTTTCTGATTCTGAACATTCGAACATTCACTACTGATACCATAAGCGTATTCTATTCTGTTACTATACACAGTGGAGATATTTCATGATAAATTAAAAGGGATTTCTCTCCAAGGGGCATACCTATCGTTCTCATACCAGGGAACAACAATTAACTTAGCTGACAAAGCGTACATTACAGGGGCTAAGTTGGCAAGAAATAATGACCAGACATCCATTCTATGGTCTACGCGTACATTCAGAACTGAGCTATAACGTTGGAAGGCTAATTTAATGTGAGGGTCAGAATTTCATGTAATCTCTTTGGGCTGCTATAGCTCCATGATTGGTTATCGGTTGTAACATACGGTGAGCCAATACAAAAGGCCACCCGTAATTCAGTATCTCCATCACATGACCCACGTCCCAGCCAAGTCATATGACACCGCAAAACACACCTCATCTATTGAATCCCTTTCATCTCCAGAGAATTGATACCGTGTTCATGGAGTTCCCTTTCGTGTTATCACTTCCCCAACTACTTAGAATATGACTTAGTTGATCCGCGCAACTAACATATTTGTTTTGTGATGGAAATTCGCCTAGCCGTCATTACTCATCCAACCCCAGAAACAAAGAAGATTGCAGTTATCATGCTTGTTATGCAGTACTGATCATCTCTCATGCATAATGGGTCAACCATCATTATCCACAGCCAGGACAACTTGGGCATTGGCACTGCTGCATCGATCAGATGGTAGAACAGCTCCGTAATCTTCAAGCGAGCTATTCTTCTTAAACTTCCCGACCACAGCGACGACGTGGCGCCAATCCAGAGCAAGAGCTCCCTACACTATTAGTGACCCATGATCATAAGTGTATGAATTTCCTGGTTTGCCATGCTCGTAACTTGGTTGTGACACTCCGCCTGGTAGATCGAGCATTCAATCGATACGGCTATCTCATTTCGTTCATCTCCTATTTCATTCCGTTCTAGTCACTCCAAGCACACTACAGACACCACCTATCTAAATTAATTGCGTTCAAATTGGCAACATAAATGCCTTGCTCTTCACATTTCGTTCCCTTAATCCTCGTTATAAATACGCAAGGCCAGGATCTCACTTGCTAGCCACAAGCTTTATCAATAATAATCCTTGGGGTAATCCGGTGAAGAAAGAAAACAGTAGTTCCACACCGATGAGAGCTCTCAAGCACTGGATTTTTATACGGGCTTGTCAGCTGTAATTTATTATGGATTTTATTTCCATTTGTCCCCATCGCCAAAAAATGGCTAAAAATCCATCTTTTGTTCAACAGACACAATTTAACATTCAGTTTTCAAGTTATGAATCGCACACAGATAACGAATGCGACAATGAAAATAATTCACAGCATGAACCTGATGATGGTTGGTCGTCCCAAAATGTACATGATTGTGCGGATCCCTATCAACACGTGACCGGTAAGATCCCCGTGTGCTTTGATTAGCACAAACCGTTGGTCGACGTGCCGGCAACGCCAGCCCCACATTTACATCAATACGACTGACATGTTGACAACCTAGATTTTCCGGATCCACATCAAGAGACCGCTGATGCAGACGTATCTGTTGAGTCAACTTTACAGCCGCTCTCTCCTCTTAATCCCGGCCAAACAAATCTTGGTCGGTATGAAAAGACTGACAACAGGAAATGTGAAAACTACTGTATAAACCTGGACCCACAATGCGGTACGGCTCCAACGGCTGCATCATCCCCGTGCCCCCAAAATAAGAAGCATAGAGATAGCGCGCAATCTTCAACATGCACGCCTGAATCACTGTCTTCGTTCCGTACTGAAGAAATACACACACATAGCTCTCTCGCCATGGCGAAAAAAAGTAATAACAAGTGTAAGCTTCTGCCGATAGATGTACACAGTGCTAAAGAAGCTGCCAGACAAACAGCTAACGAGAATGTAGCGAGACCCACCGCAGAACAGAAGTCAAAGAAAAAGAAGGATAAAGGCAAAAAACCTCAAGATATACCACAAACTCCAGATCACAATTCAATCCGAGACGAGGCTCCTAATGACGAGCCTACCCTACCACTGTCAGATAACAATCTGCAAATAGATAGCGAACAAAGCAATGAGACGCCAAGTCTTATCCAAAATGAAAAATTATTACCAATAATGTCTGACTCGAGCAAAGAAGAAATGCTAGATGAGACTAATTCTTATCAAACATCTGTAAGCTAATAAATGATAAACCATGACAAGGAACTATAATCTCACCCATCATCTCGTAGTTAAATGAATCCAATGTATGCATACTTGAAACGATTCCGGATTTAAGTGTTAGCCCTTCCACTGCTTCCGAGGTAAATCATGATAAAATTATTCATCTTGTGAGCTAAAAATAATTATTCTTTCAACTGTAGCTAATTACAAAAATTAGCCCCCGAACCCTTCAGAGCCACTAGAAAACCCTGGGGACAATATTTGTGAGAAGGAAGATAAAAATCAATTCCATAATCACGATCGCGTGCAATGCAGTGTCGACCAGGTATGATTTATCGATCACTCTCAAATTTTGCTTTAGAGAAAGTGGCTAAATTATTGACTATCATAGTCTGAGGAGCACGTTCCGATGGACACTGTAGGAATACACGATTCCATAAAATTTGAAGGGGTTCATGAACAAACTCAACTGGAGACTCCATTAAAATCTACGAAAGATGTAGAGCAAATTTCAGTAGTCCTAGAAAAAGAAACCCATTCAAAAGATCTTATGGAAAATTATGGAGAGCCACTCAATGATCAGGTCTCTACTACTACAGAATTACTATCCCGAGAATCAGCTAACAAGTCAAAATCTGCTGGAATGAATGGCAAAAAAACAAACGGAAATCCAAATTCGACAATAGACCTTCCTGCAAATGAGACTAATGAAGGAGAAACATACTTCTCTGAAAAATCTATTGCCACTACGGAAGTTTCAACCACAAAAAGTACCCCTTATATCCTTGAAGCCGAAATTGATGAGGGGGAGAATAGCGAAACTCTGAGTGGAAGGGTTCACCTTGACGATTTTAGTGTTGATAATCTCAGTTCTGAAAGTAATGGCCATGATGACTCAGGTATAGATGAATACCCTAACGGCCAACTCTCAAATGAGGGTTTTATTGTGCTGGAATCTTCGTCAGGATATAATGCTACCGATCTTACCAGTACAGAGACATCTCGCACCACTTCTGCCGAAGTAGAGCTTACACCAGGATGTACAGATTCAAATATTTACAGTGCGAAGAGCGATTACAGTAGTGAAGAAATGACATCAAACAATTCTGCTGTTGAAGACCCTCTGCAAATCACACAAGATACTCTTTCTCCTGAAAACAAGACTTTCTTCAAAGATGTCCCCGGTTTTGAGCACCCTGAAGACATTCTATCCCAAGAAAGCTATCATTTAAAGAATCCAGGAAAAGAATTGCACGAAAAATGTGCAAGTATTGACGAACAATCCAATAGGGCTTCATGTCAAGAATCCTCAACCGAATCATCCGAGATGCAAAATGATATCATCAAAAAACCTGAAATTGGATTAACAAAAGATATGGAACCGGTCAAGGTCAGCTCGCTAAATATTTCTGATACATATAGTATTGAAAAAGAAAAGGACGTCGAATTTATAGGATCAATAGATAATGATTCCTCTTCGATGACATCATCTCTTATTACAAACGCTACTGAATCAGTCAAATTAGGTAATAATCATAAAGCCCATGAGTCTACAAAAATGACTATCTTTGAGGAGCCTGATCCTGTCATGCCGAATACTGACGAAAGAGCAAGACAAATTACTAAGGACAGAGAAACAGTGAAACAACCTGAAATCGTCGAAATATTGAAGAAAAACACTATCGCTGAAAAAGGATCAGAACCTACTGAACTTAGACCTTCAAACGAGGATTGTATATCTGAAGCTTCTCAAGCAAAACGACAAGATGCTGAAACTTCAACAGACAAAACTCATGATAATGCTGCAACTGACGAACCACCTGAAACCAAAGCAAATGAAGAGAATTTAGTGACTGAAAAATCGCCACAAGAGGTTCAAGAAGAAAGAACTTCAACGGAGAATTCTGTAGCTAATGCAGAAGCGGAAGAACGAGTAGAAGCTGAAAACTCGAACGAAGTTGCCGACATTGAAGATTCATCCGCAGAACCAGCTTTTATCGAAGCTTTGAAAGCACACGATCTCCATACCGAACCAAAAGAAATTCAAGACCATGAAACTTTGAAGGAAGAAGCTGTCGCTGACACTGTAACTGAAAAGCCATTAGAAGACGAATCTTCGAAGGATAATAATATTATTGAAGATGAAACAAGAGAACCCCAAGAATGCGAAACTTCCAAGGAGTGTATAGGTGACAATACCGCACAAAAAGAGCATCAAGAAGATGACGATATGAAGGAGGAATTAATCGCTTCAAAAGAACCAGAAGAACTTGAAGTACTCGAGCCTACAAAAGAGGATACTGATTCTGATACATCAACTGAATTGACTCAAGAAACCGAAAGCTCAGAGAAAAATGACAGTGTTGTTGTGCCAGAAAATCCTGTACAAGATGGAACTATTAAGGAGGCTACTACCATCGATGCTGCAGATGAAAAAACACCGAAATTTGAGAACATCAAGGAGGAAAGTTTTGCTGATATTGAGCCTGAAAAATGCCCAGAGAATAAAACTATCAAACAAGATGCTATCACTGAAAAAACCTACAAAGAACTTGCCGAAGATGAAACCAGTAAGGACGATGCTATTACTGATACTACATCTGAAAAACCTGAGGTGGTTCGAACTGAAAAACATAGCGCCAATGATGAAATAACACCCGAAAAATTCACAGGAAACGAAACTACAAAGGATGATGCAGATGCTGGAAAAGCTCTTAAGGAACCCAAAGAGGACGTAGTTCCAAGGAATGAATTTGTCAAGGACGCCATTCCAGAAGAAGTTCCAGAAGATAAAGATCCGAAAGGCAATGTTGATAATGATGCCGCATATGAAAAACCTCTAGAAAGTAAAATATCAGAGAGGAATATCGCTATTAATGCTGCAACCGAGAAACTAGCAGAAGACGAATCATCTAAGGATGATGAAGCCGCTGGAAAAGAACCAGAGGAATCTTTAGAAAACGAAGCCAACGGGGATGCTACAGAAGCAGAAATGGCACCTGAGAAACTTGCTGCAGATGAAAACATAAAGGAGGATAGTGCATCTAAAGAACCTGTAGAGGCTGAAACTCCAAAGGATGATTCCGATCTTCAAAAATTACACCAAGAAACTACAGAAAATAGAACCACAAAGGATGATGCTGTTACTGATACTGCACTCGAAAATCCCCAGGAAAACGCAACTTCGGAGAGAGAAGTCGTTAACGATGCTGTACATGAGGAACCTGAAGTAGTTGAAACTGCGAAAGATGATGCTGCTACTGCCACTGCACCCGAGGAACCTGAAGTGGTAGAAGCTGCGAAAGATGATGCTGTTACTAATACTGAACCTGAGGAACCTGAAGTAGTTGAAACTGCGAAAGATGATGCTGCTACTGCCACTGCACCCGAGGAACCTGAAGTGGTAGAAGCTGCGAAAGATGATGCTGTTACTGATGCTGCACCTGAGGAACCTGTAGTGGAAGAAACTACGAAAGATGATGCTGTTACTGATGCTACACCTGAGGAACCTGAAGTAGTTGAAACCACAAAGGATGATGCTGTTACTGCCACTGCACCCGAAGAACCTGAAGTGGTAGAAACTGCGAAAGATGATGCTGTTACTAATACTGCACCTGAGGAACCTGAAGTAGTTGAAACTGCGAAAGATGATGCTGCTACTGCCACTGCACCCGAGGAACCTGAAGTGGTAGAAGCTGCGAAAGATGATGCTGTTACTGATACTGCACCTGAGGAACCTGAAGTAGTTGAAACTGCGAAAGATGATGCTGCTACTGCCACTGCACCCGAGGAACCTGAAGTGGTAGAAGCTGCGAAAGATGATGCTGTTACTAATACTGCACCTGAGGAACCTGTAGTGGAAGAAACTACGAAAGATGATGCTGTTACTGATGCTACACCTGAGGAACCTGAAGTAGTTGAAACCACAAAGGATGATGCTGTTACTGCCACTGCACCCGAAGAACCTGAAGTGGTAGAAACTGCGAAAGATGATGCTGTTACTAATACTGCACCTGAGGAACCTGAAGTAGTTGAAACTGCGAAAGATGATGCTGCTACTGCCACTGCACCCGAGGAACCTGAAGTGGTAGAAGCTGCGAAAGATGATGCTGTTACTGATACTGCACCTGAGGAACCTGTAGTGGAAGAAACTACGAAAGATGATGCTGTTACTGATGCTGCACCTGAGGAACCTGTAGTGGAAGAAACTACGAAAGATGATGCTGTTACTGCCACTGCACCCGAGGAACCTGAAGTAGTTGAAACTATAAAGGATGATGTAGATGTTGAAAAAGTATCCCAAGAACCTACAGAAAATGAAACCACAAAGGATGATGCTGTTACTGATGCTACACCTGAGGAACCTGAAGTAGTTGAAACTGCGAAAGATGATGCTGCTACTGCCACTGCACCTGAGGAACCTGTAGTGGAAGAAACTACGAAAGATGATGCTGTTACTGATGCTGCACCTGAGGAACCTGAAGAAGTTGAAACCACAAAGGATGATGCTGTTACTGCCACTGCACCCGAAGAACCTGAAGTGGTAGAAACTGCGAAAGATGATGCTGTTACTGATACTGCACCTGAGGAACCTGAAGTAGTTGAAACTGCGAAAGATGATGCTGCTACTGCCACTGCACCTGAGGAACCTGTAGTGGAAGAAACTACGAAAGATGATGCTGTTACTGATGCTACACCTGAGGAACCTGAAGAAGTTGAAACTACAAAGGATGATGTAGATGTTGAAAAAGTATCCGAAGAACCTACAGAAAATGAAACAACAAAGGATGATGTAGATGTTGAAAAAGTATCCGAAGAACCTACAGAAAATGAAACAACAAAGGATGATGCTGCTACTGCCACTGCACCCGAGGAACCTGAAGAAGTTGAAACCACAAAGGATGATGCTGTTACTGATGCTGCACCCGAAGAACCTAAAGAAGATGTAGTTTTGAAGAATGACTCCATTGAGAATGCCACATCAGAAGAAATCGCAGAAAATAGAGATACAAAGGAGAATGCTGATAATGATACCGCATATGAAAAACCTCAAGAAACTGAAATATTTGAGAAAGATATCGCCATAGATGCTGCAACCGAGAAACAAGCAGAAGACGAATCACCCATGGATAATGCAGATGCAGAAAAAGAAAACGAAGAACTTGCTGAAGATAGAGATTTGAAGGAGAATAATTTAGTTGACACTGTACCCGAAGAATCATTGCATGACGATTGTTCAACAATTGATGATATTACTAAAACTGGAAATAAGAAATTGACGGAAGTTGACTTCTCGGTTGAGGACACTTGCGACGGGGAATCAGTACCTGAGGAACCTTCAGAAGATGAAATTACTAAGGAAGAACCTGTTGTAGTTGAGACTTTGAAGGAGGAATCCGATCTTGATACTGTGCTTCCAGCAAGTGAAACTACGGAGGACGATGTCGTTACCGATGTTGCACCCGAAGAAACCGGAGAGGTTGAAACTGTGAAGGACGATGTCGTTACCGATGTGGCACCCGAAGAAACCGGAGAGGTTGAAACCGTGAAGGACGATGTCGTTACCGATGTGGCACCCGAAGAAACCGGAGAGGTTGAAACTGTGAAGGACGATGTCGTTACCGATGTTGCACCCGAAGAAGCTGGAGAGGTTGAAACTGTGAAGGACGATGTCGTTACCGATGTGGCACCCGAAGAAACCGGAGAGGTTGAAACTGTGAAGGACGATGTCGTTACCGATGTGGCACCCGAAGAAACCGGAGAGGTTGAAACCGTGAAGGACGATGTCGTTACCGATGTGGCACCCGAAGAAACCGGAGAGGTTGAAACTGTGAAGGACGATGTCGTTACCGATGTTGCACCCGAAGAAACCGGAGAGGTTGAAACTGTGAAGGACGATGTCGTTACCGATGTGGCACCCGAAGAAACCGGAGAGGTTGAAACTGTGAAGGACGATGTCGTTACCGATGTGGCACCCGAAGAAGCTGGAGAGGTTGAAACTGTGAAGGACGATGTCGTTACCGATGTGGCACCCGAAGAAACCGGAGAGGTTGAAACTGTGAAGGACGATGTCGTTACCGATGTGGCACCCGAAGAAGCTGGAGAGGTTGAAACTGTGAAGGACGATGTCGTTACCGATGTTGCACCCGAAGAAACCGGAGAGGTTGAAACTGTGAAGGACGATGTCGTTACCGATGTGGCACCCGAAGAAACCGGAGAGGTTGAAACCGTGAAGGACGATGTCGTTACCGATGTGGCACCCGAAGAAACCGGAGAGGTTGAAACTGTGAAGGACGATGTCGTTACCGAAATGAACCTCGAAGACATTGTAGAAGACAAGAATGTAGCAGAGGAAAATGTTGCTGAAGCCGCCAGCGATCAGCCTACAGAGGGCGAAGCCATCAAGGAGAATATTGAAGTGGTGGAAGATAATCAGGTTGAAGGTCACGTGGATGGGATGGATGAAATGGCACCAAAAGATGCAATTGCGTTTGTTGAACAGATAGAAAAGAACCTCCTTGAAAGGGATGGTGGATCTATGGAGGCTGGAGCAATCGATGTCGAGCAGTATTTATTACCAGAATCATCATCTGAGGAATATTTGACTAAGATTCCTTCGTCAGAAGATACTGAAAACGTTAAATTGTTTGGGAACGAAATACCTGGAGAAGAAACTTCCATTAATCAATCCATCAATCATGAACAAGTTGTTAATGGCAATACGCCCAGAGGACTTTCCTCAGGAGAATCAGCTAATTTTAGAGATGCTCTTTATTACAAACCTGCGATGAATGTTCAGCAAGGTTTCGGTATTCCGATTAAATATCGTTTCCCAACTGCTGAAATTCCCTATGTTATGAAGCCTCAAGAACAGAGCAACCTACAAGCTGATGATCCAAGTAACGACAATGAAGTAAAAATAGAGAGAAATTTTGCATCGCAAGTACCAGACGATAGCCCAGAGATTGTAAAGAATGATAATAAAGTTCCAATGAATGAAAATGGAGGTCATCGCTCGACTAAAAACTCTCGATCTAGTCGTCATGATTCTATAACTAGTTCAAAACAAACAATGCGTGAGGAAGATCCTTCGACTTTACCCTCTTCCCCAAGAAATAGGAATTTAGTTCAAAGTGATAACGAGACGAATAGAGCTTCACAAACGAGAAATAATCGAATTCAACGAACAATTGAGGAGCAGGCAGCACACGAAAGGCGGAAAGCTGCTCGACGCGCTGCGAGGGCCGAAGACTTTCAAGCGAGCTCACTGCCAAAGTCTAGGAATCACGCTAGAAGTACCGATCTAGGAGTTGATGAGAAATTTACGTCACATGAAACTGCTGCATTGAAGGCTTCCCGCTCTTTACGACATAGAGATGAGTCAGCCAAGAAACCAAAGCTTTTAGGTCTTAATGGTGAATCGATAGTAAAGATTCCTTTTGTAGCTGACGAAAAACCCCATATTAAAGAAAAAACTATCATGCTTCCATCAGCCAAGATTACGTCTACCTTAGATAGATCAAAACATTTAATTGATGGCGAACGTGAACAACTTTTATTTTCGGATAGGAGCGCTAGAGCCAAGGAACATTCCATTTCGCAAAACTTTATCGAAAAAGATATGGATAAACTTTCCAAGAACTACATGTTCAGCAGGAATAAGGAAGCACCTACACACCATTCTCCCACTAAAGATAAAGATAAGTCTTCCTCGCATCGCCCCAACGAAAAGGACAAAGATAGAGTATCACATCGTCCGCTTGGAAAAGATAAGGAGGAAACTTTGCATCACAATCTCGAGAGAAACAAGGACAAGTCTTCCTCGCATCGGTCACATGGAAAAGATAAAGATAGAACTTCCTCGCATCGCTCCAAAGAAAAAGACAAAGATAGAGTATCGCATCGTCCACACGGAAAGGATAAGGAGGAATCTCTGCATCACTCTCATAGAAATGATCCGGAAAGATCTTTACATCGTTCTCTTGAAAAGGATAAAGATAAGTCTTCCTCGCATCGCTCAAACGAAAAGGACAAAGACAGAGTATCACATCGTCCACTTGAAAAGGATAAAGAGGAATCTTCGCATCACACTCTCGAGAGAAACAAGGACAGGTCTTCCTCACACCGCTCACATGGAAAGGACAAAGAAAGAACTTCTCATCATCTGCATGGAAAAAATAAAGAGGATTCGCATCACGCCCTCGAAAAAGATAAGGATAGATCTTCTTCTCATCGCTCACATGGAAAGGACAAAGAGGAATCTTCACATCATACTCCCGAAAAAAATAAAGATAAATCTTCCTCACATCGTTCTCATACAAAAGATAAAGATAGATCTTCTTCTCATCGCTCACATGGAAAGGACAAAGAGGAATCTTCGCATCACACTCTCGAAAAAGATAAAGAAATATCTACTTCAATTCGCTCGAGCGAAAAAGAGAAGGATAAATCCTTGAATAGTACTCGGGAAAAGGATAATGATGTAACTTCTTTTGATCGTTCAAACGAAAAAGAAAGAGATAGAACTTCTCATCGATCACATGGAAAAGATAAGGAAAGATCTCACTCATATCGCTCGCATGGCAGGGACAAGGATAAATCTTCCGAAAATCGCTCAGATGGAAAAGATAAGGAAATACCTTCTCTACGCTCTACAGGAAAAGACGATGTGAAAACTTTGAAAAATTCTATTGAAAAAGATAAAGAGAGATTTTCCTCTCATCGTTCATCTACAAAAGACAGAGAAAAACAAAGATTGCACCGCTCACAGACAAGGCACAACGAAAAATCGAAAAACCGACATCGTAGTAGAGAAAAGGAAACAAAAGAGTCCTTCAGGCTGGAGGAAGAGAAAGAGGCCCAGAGAGCTCGAAGAGATACAGAAACTAAAATGGCCGCTGCTAGAGAGGCAGTTGCGGCAGAATCCAGACGTCGACGTGAGAAAGAGTCAGAAGATAGGAGAATTAGGCGCGAAGAACGACGAAAGAGATTAGATGAAGATGAAGAAGAAATAAAAGTAAAGCATTTAAAGACAAGACGATCGATAACCGATGATAAGACATCTGATACTCAATATCTGAAGACACGAGAGAGTGATAAACCTCACCGCCAGAGATCAAAGAAGGAAAAGTTGCCTGAAAAATCAAAGGGTCCACTAAGCAGTCTCTGGTCATCGGCCAAAAAAGTATTTGGTTGAAAGCATTAAGAAGTGAAAGTTTCCTAAATGGCGCGATTATGATAAATTTAATATCAAAAATAGGGTTTTATTCATGACTCTTGAGGTGAGGAGTATAGAGCTATTTTTGGTCACTCCCTATTTATAAAGTAAATTAAGTTGATTTAACTCTGATAAATTCTGACACTCACTATTTTGGAGGGGTAGGGGAAAATATTCGAGGGAACAAACTAAATAATGATTTAAGTTAGGCAAAGAAGGTTAGTATTATGATTTATGAAAACCCGGAGATATCGGAGAATATTAATACACCTTATTCAATAGCCTCCGGTCATTAACTATTAAAAGATGGTAAAAAATAATACTATGTAATATCCACGGGAATTTGGGGATAAAATTACCGCTCTAAAATCCGAAAAGGCGATAAGATGACTACACTTAAAGACTATTGATAATGGGCAGGGAAAGAGTACCTAGTAAAATATAAGCTAGGAAATAGGAAAAAATACCTCAATAATCCCCAAGATGAGAGCTAGCCATCCATTTAATACTACATTCAGAGCCAGAAAAATATTTCGAAGTGCTCATAGGGTAGCGAATATGTTGCTGACAGATTGTAGCGTTTAAAGATGATGGACCGTTAGGGAAAAAGGGGATAGTTTAGCAGATGTTAGGTCGTCTCCTGGCGTGGAGTAGGATCATGGATTAAAATGTAATTAAGCTGTGTGAATAGTCAGAAACAGCATGAATTGAATATATCTGTGTTGAAATATATTGAAGACAGTTTGTACATAAGCCCGTTCGTTCCTGTGTTTCTAAAAGCTAACTCTAAAAGGATTAGCCAACATGTGTATCAACTTGCAACTTAGTGGAAACTCAATCATCTCCAAGTCTCGAAGCTTTGAAGCATGTGAACTGCCATAGATGTCAACAACTGTCGGCTTTCTGAGTTATTTAGCTTGAATTTACCAACAGGTTACGATCCAACTGTGACGATATCCTGAAAGGAGGACATGGTAGGAAATTTTGGAATAATAAATTTATGTATCAACGATGATTCGTTTTCTGTCAGTCAGTCAGTTAGTTTCTTTACCTTGATTGCGAAGGGTCCACTAAACAAAACAGTAGCCGTTATTTAGATTATGTTGCCAAGTTGAGACATTGCACTAGCTCCACTAGTTTGGTCATATTAAGTTTGATTCCTGTGTATAGATGTAGTCTCTACTTGTTGCACCATCTTGGAACTGGAGGTAGAAGATGACAAATCATTGAAGGGTTGCTTATCTATTTTCTGGCTATCGGGTAGCCGAAATACATGGTTTTTCCTCATTTGAAACTCTACTAGAGAACTCGCTGGCAATAATGCTGCCACCTAAACAAACCAAAACGTGCTCAACACAGATATGATTGGGATATCATCGGAACCATGATTATGAACCCAATGTAAAGTATGAGTCATGTAAAATCCAAACAAAAAGATTTTTTTCTTGTTACTTATTTTGTGTCAGTATTAACCTCCCTGACCCAAAAATGTTATAAATCAATTGGGGTATACCTAGTAGAACCATAGACTAACATTACTTCCTTCGGAAACCTTCACAACAGCACATTTACCGAACATCTCCGAAGGTCATATTATTATGGTTATACGTTATGGTGTGTGATCGTAATACTTGAGGCGATGTACTGGTTATAGAACGTGTGTGAGTTTGAAGATATGTGATGAGTGGCTCACGCAATATGTGGAGAAAGATGTTATAGGTGTACATAGATATATGAATGTGTGTGTGAACTACTCTTAATGACGAGCGTATTTTTTTTGTTGTTTTAAAGTGCTGATCTAAAGTAGAAGTTCTACTTCCTACTATGGATACAGGACCAGTGAAGCCTACATGGACCACTGTGTCTTTTTCCAAAGCCCACTCTTTCCAAGCGTGTGAGTCGCTACCAAATTTGTAGCAAATTGGAACAAACCGGAAACAAGAAAATCAATAACTAAACCCCACGATGACTAAAGATTCACCCATATTGGAACCAAGCAATGCGCTCCTCACACATTCCTTCGCCCGTCACACTTTCCAGATGACAATCTATTGAAAGGCTATGCTGAGCTGGAATGACGTATCGTTAGGATGAAGGTATGGAAGGAGGTGGCTATGGCTTTAAGAGAAGTAAAGTTCGTGAGTTATACTCTTAGGGCTTAGATCAATGGACGAACTTGAGGATATTCCCTAGTATTCTCAAGTGTGTGAATAATATGGAGATTGTTTGAATTTCCTATTGTATGAGCTGCTTAAGTTATCTACGTGACAGGACATTCTTCTATATACATGAATAAGGGGGCTCTGCACACTAGTGGATGTTCCAAAATATCTCCTTGTCTAAGCGAGAAAGGAAGGATGTGAGAGATCGTTGCGCTAATAGATACCATTGGGAATCTATTGTGAAATACTATGTCATACCAATGAGTGATGATCTAGGTCAATCATATCCCATGGCGGATGTGCACATTATTCTAATGTGAACAGTTTATTGTAATGCAGGAATGTTACTCGCCTAATTACAACAGGCTCATCATTTCATTATTTGACAGAACCGCAAAGCCGGTCCTGAGCTGGCGGAAGGAACTGAAGTCTCCTGATTCACACTCCAGCTCATCCACTACTTCGACCCGTGCGCGGCTAGGAGAGAGCTTGCGCCACGGATCTTCGCTACCGAGGCAGATGAAAAGTCTATCGACTTTCGCCTTCGGGCCGTCTTTCTTTGAGGGGTTTGGCCGTAGATTGCGGCACAGCCTTTTATTGTAATAACGAGGTTATGAGAAGTCTAAGAATTGTCACAATGGGTGTAACAGTCAACTTGGGTTGATGTAGGATAGCACTTTAAGTCTAACGTGAAGAAGACAGATATATGTTGTAGATCTGCTATATTGATGACTATTGAATATAAGAGTGGAAAAGGTTGATCATATACAGAGGTCTAGTAGCGAGTATTTATACACAAAGACAATACATACAATATACCATCAATAGCAATAACTGTCAACCATTCAGCCATTCAACAACTATGTCATTAGATATACCTGCGTCATATTATCATACTATCATATATCGTTGAGATACTTGTGTTGTCATTTCTGTGCACCAATGACGTATCATTGACGCAGGGTTGCTTGTCCTGTTGGTTCACTTGCCCAGTACTAGCCATTCCAAGTTGTGTGATCTATAAGTGGGTCTGATCACAACACCTTTCCCGGCGATTTGGACTCGGTCGGAGGAGTATTGACGACTCTCCCATGCCGTGGGGCATGGAGATTGGTGTAGAAATTTCCGCAACAAATCCAACTGACCCGATCATGTCATTATCGGGCGCAGAGACGGTAGGAAGGACTTTATCCTTCCCTTCGACCAAGGCCTCATTCGCAAACATGCTTGTGGTTTTGTCGCGAGCCCTCGGACGGACTTTCGAGTTATCCAACATTGCATTGCGCAACTGTTTTCAATCAGGTGCCATGATAAAAATACAAGTGACTCCATCACAATCAATGGAGAGAATGCGACGAGCGCGAGAGGGAGGGAGCGAAAATGGGAAATTTCGAAATTCGAAATCCAAAATATTGTGCGTTTGTCAGTGTGTTTTTAGAAGGTACTGGGATTTTAATAGTAATACAATCAAATAGAATGTAAATTTAAAGTACTGGGCTTAAGTAAAAGCCATGCGTTCTACTCTGAATGCCGTTTAAGAACCCGGAGCGATACCTCATGCGATTACAGACTAGCCTCGAAAATGTGCCGGGTGCTGTGGAGTCTGGAAAATTATTCTTCCCAAACATGGAACAAAACAGCCAATCAACGAAACTCGACAAGCAGTCCGAAGCTGCCCAGGCCAAAATTTGGATAGAGAATCTGTCAGCAGACACCATGTGTGCGTACCCAGATGGTTCGTCCTGTGGCCTGGCAAAATATGCATGGGGATACACTCTGTTCAGAGGAGTGCAAATGATTGGAAGTGGAGCAGGACCTTTGCTTGGGGCAGACATCTAAAACACAGAGATCTCAGGAGCTCAGAGAGCACTTGAAGTAGCAATACTGGTAGCCGGCAGCAAACCTATCAAGGTACTCCTAGACAGCTCAGAAGCCATCCAGGCTTTGCGCTGCGGAAGGTCGAGATCCTTCCAAGGAATAGTTGAAAAGTTTGTCTCTGGCTGTCGAAATCACCAGTCAGTAGAGATTCGATGGATCCCGGGACACTCAAGGATTGCAGGGAATGAGAGGACAGACAAGCTTGCCAAAGCAGTATTGAGGGATCTTCCGTACGAAAGAACCAATACAACGCCCTCTACAGAACTAAATCGAAGAATAAGATTTACGTTTGCATCAATCAACAGGTTTGTAAGGGAACGTGCGGACGAGCTGGTGGCAGCATGGTGGCAGAAATATGCGCATCGACACTACGTGGACTTAAACCTGAAGATAACACACAAACGACCTCCTGAACTTGCTCTAATGAGATAGGCGTACCACAAGTTGATTGCGGCTAGGACAGGACACGGTGACTTCGTCAAATATCACGAAAGATTCAAGCATAAAGATGTTGTCAGCAGGTGTGAATGCGCGCGAGAAATACGCCCGTGGCACTTTGCAGAATGCCGACCAGCTTTACAGCATTGGAAAAGTATTACAGGGGAACCCCCCCCCCCCCCGAGGGCGAGCGAGATACTGGCAGAAAATGGATTAGACAAATTCATTGAATTTGTTTCTATAACCAAATGTTATGTTGCACAAAATATGTACCGGAAAGCCTAGGCATTCCCAGGGGTCTAAAATGTTTTTCCTTTGGATAGCTGGTGGGAAATTAGGACAAGGCGCAGGGCGGATTTTTTCAGACGCTATTATTTTTCATTTTATAATCTGTCTATTTTTTTTATATAGATTCTCTGGCAAGAAAAGCCCTTCATGTAGGTAGTAGTGAGTCCGCATGGATCACATACCCGTATCATGCCTCGTGGGTGTAGGGCTTTT